TCCCGAAGACGTCGCCAGGCGTGTCTCCAGAGAGCCCCAAGAGAGGCCCCAAAGACCACCGGAGCGGCACCAAGAGCGCCCAAGGTCGGCCCAAGAGCGCTTCGACAGGCGACTGCGATGGCCACAAAGGCGAGAGGGAGGTCGAGGATCCCCCCTGCTTCCAGGATGGCCTCAGAAGGCCCTCCAGGGCGCCCAGAGTGGGCCCCAAGAGGGCCCCCAAACATCACGCCCCCAGGCACTGTGCAGGGGCGAGGCTAGACCCCAGGCACGTCTGGCCCCCAGACGCGCCCCCCCGCCCCCAAGACGCCCAGAGGCATGCTCCAAGAGGCGTCGCCAGGCGCAGCCGCGCCCCAAGGCGCATCCCTTTCGGGCGCCCTCAGGGCCTCTTGGGCCGTCTCGAGAGGTGTTTGTCCCGAGGAGGCCCCCTTGTGGGCCAAAGTGGGGCAGCACCAGCATGCTGTGCGTCTTCCGTCCTGGAGGCGAGCTTGAGACTTTGGAGCCTGGCGATCCGCCGAAGTTGGGGCCCCGAGGAGGGGGTGTGGAGGAGGGGCATCTGCACTGCTGGGATGCTCCATCAGACCTGCCCATCCACTCGGTCATGCAGCCTTACTCCTTAGGATCGAGGAGACTCGAGTAAGCCGGAACTCGGGTTTGCCGAAGTTTTTGTTGACGAGCGCGTCCTGGTTTTTGACGGTGCGGTTTTCGTGGGATGTATGCAGCGGGAGCTCGCGTCAAATTTCAGATTGGGTCTCGTCGTTTTCATGATGGCCCCGTCAGGCCATTCCGAGTCCCCCGTGCCCGAGTCTTACGTCTCCCCGATTGGAGCCTTCCGTATCGCAAAGCTCCCTTTTCTTGATAGAGGCCCTGACTGGGGTGAGCGAGGGGGCCTTGCTCGCAGATTCTCAGCAGGCACGCCGGCTCGCGGAACCCTGCCGCGCGGGCACGCACACACGGGCGGGTCGGGCCCGGCCAGCGGACCCGAGCGGGCGGACCCCGGCGGGCGGGTCCGTCGGGCGGGCGGACCCTGCCGGGTGGGACTCGGAGGAGGAGAAGGTACCCATACCTCTACCCTTCCCTCGCTCTCCCCTTTTTGGGCCTCCTGGGAGGATCTCGTCGCCACCGCTGGATTCGCCTCGAAATTCTTGTCAGAAGGCACCCGGGGAGAGGTCTGGGGAGCAGCGGCACCGGAACCTTTTGGTTCCCCCCCTCCTCTTGCAAAGATGTTCACCACCAGGCCACTGCCGCCCAGAGAACCGGTGGGACTTCTGATGCGCTTCGGTGGTTCTCGCGCAGCTCGAACGGTGCCAGAGGGCTGTCTGGTGGCAGGGGCGGGCGGCTGGCAGAGGCCAGGGCTCAGGGTCGGAGAACGTGCCGACGCCGCTGCTCGTCCTGGAGAGACCCCTCGTCGGCACGGCTGCACTCTCCTCGAACGTCGGGTCAGAGCGCACCCCGCGAGAGGTCCGCGGAGCACAGCGATCATCGGCCCCTCCTCGCCCTCTGCAGGGCCGTGGTGAGATCCGTCCTCCGCCGCCTGGTCGGGGCGGCACCCGGCCCAGACCCCCCACGTCATGGTTTTTTCCCCACATCCTGAGTGGGGTTCTTGTTTTCCCAGAACACCCTCTCCTTCCCACCCACCTCCCGCTCCATCTTCCATACAGCACAATATTATTCCTACCACACACACCATACCATACCATAGTTCCTACCACACATACCATACCATACCATACCATACCATACCATACCACACCATACGTACCATACCGTACCATACCATACCATGGCGTTCCCACCCCTCCAGGGAGGCCCCGCCTGAGCGAGGAGGGTATCGGAATACCATACTATTTACATGGTTTCGTGCCCCTCCCACCCCTCCAGGGAGGCCCCGCCTGAGCGAGGAGGGTATCGGAAGGTGAGGGGCCCCGCCTGAGCGAGGAGGGTATCGGAATACCATACTATTTACATGGTTTCGTGCCCCTCCCACCCCTCCAGGGAGGCCCCGCCTGAGCGAGGAGGGTATCGGAATACCATACTATTTACATGGTTTCGTGCCCCTCCCACCCCTCCAGGGAGGCCCCGCCTGAGCGAGGAGGGTATCGGAATACCATACTATTTACATGGTTTCGTGCCCCTCCCACCCCTCCAGGGAGGCCCCGCCTGAGCGAGGAGGGTATCGGAATACCATACTATTTACATGGTTTCGTGCCCCTCCCACCCCTCCAGGGAGGCCCCGCCTGAGCGAGGAGGGTATCGGAATACCATACTATTTACATGGTTTCGTGCCCCTCCCACCCCTCCAGGGAGGCCCCGCCTGAGCGAGGAGGGTATCGGAATACCATACTATTTACATGGTTTCGTGCCCCTCCCACCCCTCCAGGGAGGCCCCGCCTGAGCGAGGAGGGTCTCGGAAAACCATACTATTTACATGGTTTCGTGCCCCTCCCACCCCTCCAGGGAGGCCCCGCCTGAGCGAGGAGGGTATCGGAATACCATACTATTTACATGGTTTCGTGCCCCTCCCACCCCTCCAGGGAGGCCCCGCCTGAGCGAGGAGGGTATCGGAATACCATACTATTTACATGGTTTCGTGCCCCTCCCACCCCTCCAGGGAGGCCCCGCCTGAGCGAGGAGGGTATCGGAATACCATACTATTTACATGGTTTCGTGCCCCTCCCACCCCTCCAGGGAGGCCCCGCCTGAGCGAGGAGGGTATCGGAATACCATACTATTTACATGGTTTCGTGCCCCTCCCACCCCTCCAGGGAGGCCCCGCCTGAGCGAGGAGGGTATCGGAATACCATACGATTTACATGGTTTCGTGTCCCTCCCACCCCTCCAGGGAGGCCCCGCCTGAGCGAGGAGGGTATCGGAATACCATACGATTTACATGGTTTCGTGCCCCTCCCACCCCTCCAGGGAGGCCCCGCCTGAGCGAGGAGGGTATCGGAATACCATACTATTTACATGGTTTCGTGCCCCTCCCACCCCTCCAGGGAGGCCCCGCCTGAGCGAGGAGGGTATCGGAAAACCATACTATGTACATGGTTTCGTGCCCCTCCCACCCCTCCAGGGAGGCCCCGCCTGAGCGAGGAGGGTATCGGAATACCATACGATTTACATGGTTTCGTGCCCCTCCCACCCCTCCAGGGGGCCCCGCCTGAGCGAGGAGGGTATCGGAAAACCATACTACTTTCATGGTTTCGTGCCCCTCCCACCCCTCCAGCGTCGCGAGGAGGGCATCAAGAAAATGGGTCCCACGAAACCGTTAATCTCTTTATGCGGGGAACTCCGTTAGCATAATTCAAAACGTCGACCCCCAGAGGTCTCGACCCCTTCCCCGGGACCGGTTTTTCAGCCAGAGTCGTTTTCTGACGGTCCCGAGGCCCGGTAAGGGCCCCCAGGGGCTGAAAATGATAAAAAATCTCCCGTCGTGATTTTTTCAGTACTCAGACCCCCCTGGGGAGTCCAGATGCTCTCTTTTGAGCCCACTAGAAACCTATCCCCCCCTCCCCGCCGGGACGAGCCCCGCGTCTGACGGTGGCGAGCGTCCCAGGGCCGCTCGGCGCAGGGGCAGCGAGAAGGGGGGCGCCGGGCAGAGGGGAGGGCGAGGGCGAGCAGGTGGAGGAGGGGGAGGGCGAGGAGGGGGAGGTAGGAGGTAGGAGGTAGGAGGAGCCCAGGGGAGGAGGTGGAAGGAGGAGGAAGATTTCTTTGTGAGAGTTCCAGAAAGGGGGCAGGTAGGTGGTTTTTCGGGGCGCAGGAGGACGATCACAAGTGAGGCGTTGAGGAGGAGGCGGAGGAGGATGGAGGAGGGGATGGAGGCTGGAGGAGGTAGGAGGCGATGGAGGGGAGGGCGAGGAGGGGAGGAGGAGGCCAGGAGGGAGCGAGGAGGAGGACCCCAGCTGGGAGGCCCCCAGCGCTCCCTCCGCATCGAGACTCCAGCGCGCACCGATCACCAATAGGGGCCCGAGGGCCCCACGCCTGGCCAGGAGCTGTGCGAGGGGGAGGTGGCTCGCCACGAGGAGGGGGAGGGCGAGGAGGGGGAGGAGGAGGCGAGGGGGGAGCGAGGAGGAGGAGGACCCCAGCTGGGAGGCCCCCAGCGCTCCCTCCGCATCGAGACTCCAGCGCGCACCGATCACCAATAGGGGGACTGGCAATCGGGGGCCCGTCGCCCATCCATCGGCAACGTGTCGCCGATTCCAGGTCGATGCTCCCGCCCCGTGCCAGTCCCCCCCTACAGTCAGCCCGCATACTCGGGATGCGCGCCTTGCCAAGGATACCCTTGCATCCTTCCCCGTCGCCCCCTCCTGGGCCGCTTTCGCTGCCCCCGACCCGCTCGCAGAGTGTCGGCATGGCCTCCCGAGGCCCCTGCATCCTTATCTTGCGTCCTTTATCATACGGGTTGACTGCATCGTTCACCGCCCACCAAACCACCCCAACCCAACCCGAAGGCCCCGATCTGTCCTCCACTTCAAGTGCGTGGGGGGGGTCGGGGAGCCTGGAACAGAACACATACATGAAGCTCGCGACCCCCCCCAACCCGCAATTCGGGTCGTCGGGTTGGGTTGGCGTCGTCTGGTGGGAAGTCTAGGGGCACGAAAAATGACATGAACAGAAAAACTCGGAGGTCCGCGCGGATTTCTCTGATCCGCGCTGGACCCCTATCCAGGGGCGGCGCTGGAGGCCCCGCCCGGGGGCCCCCCTGGGCAGATCCGAGAAATCCGCGCGGACCTCAGAGTTTTTGTGTTTATGTCGTTCTAGTTGGGTTGGGCTCGCCTGGTAGGTCGTCAATCGCTGCCCCTCGCTCAGGTCCTTCGTCCCGAGGCGTCTCTTGATGGCCCCGAGGCCCGGAGAGGGCCCCCAGAGGCCGCACGTGGCGACAAGGCACCTCCCGCCATGTTTTTTTTTTTTTCAGGACTCGAGGGGGCCTGGGCTCGTGGCCCCCCGCTCAGGTCATGCTCTGGCGCGCCCTCGGCTGGCCCGTCCTCGGCGGCCTGGCCACCATGCTGGCGCTGCTGCCGGCGCAGGCGCGCGTCGCCGACGCCCTGGCGCGGCTGCGCGCGCAGGCCGCCGCCGCCGCGGACCGGCGGCTGCGGCGCACGGAGGCCGCCCTCGGCGCCCTCGCGGCGGTGAAGCTGCAGCGGTGGGAGGAGCTGTGCGAGGGGGAGGTGGCTCGCCACGAGGAGGGGGAGAGCGAGGAGGGGGAGGAGGAGGCGAGGAGGGAGCGAGGAGGAGGAGGAGGACTCCAGCTGGGAGGCCCCCAGCGCTCCCCCCCGCATCGAGACTCCAGCGCGCACCGATCACCAATCGGGGGACTGGCAATCGGGGGCCCGTCGCCGATCTCTCGGCGACGTGTCGCCGATTCCAGGTCGATGCTCCCGCCGCGTGCCAGTCCCCCCCCACAGTCAACCCGCATACTCGGGATGCGCACCTTGCCAAGGATACCCTTGCCCTTCGGCCCCGCCCCGCTGGCCCCGCCCCGCTCGCAGAGTGTCGGCGTGGCCTCCCGAGGCCCCTGCATATTTATCGTACGTCCTTTATCATACGGGTTGACTGCATCGTTCACCGCGCACCAAACCACCCCAACCCAACCCGAAGGCCCGATCTGCCCTCCACTTCCAGTGCGGGGGGGAGGGTCGGGGAGCGTGGAACAAAACACCTATGAAGCTCGTGCTCCCCTCCATCCGGAATTCGTGTCTGATTCGGGCCTTCGGGTTGGGTTGGGGTGGTCTGGTAGGTAGTCAGGAAACCGTCAGGCGATCGCAAATTTGGATCAAGGGGGCGTGGATTAGCGGCGGGTCCCGTTTCCATGGTAGATCGCCGATTTCCGCCGCCGAGCGAGGCGGCACCGGCCGCATTTTGGGGAGGGCACCTCCCCCGATCCATGGATTTGGCGACTGCGCGCCAAATCCATGGATAGCTAATCCATGTTTGCGCGCCCCCGACAGATGGGGTCGGAGTAGATGGGGTCGAAGGATCGCGCCGCATCGCCGATGCATCGCCGATGCGGCTCGATGTGGATCCCGATTTGCTTCACGTCGACGTCGCCGATGCATCGCCCTCGTCGACGATGCATCGCCGGTGCATCGCCGATGCATCGCCGATGCACCGCCGATGTTTCGGTGATGCGGCGCGATCCTCCGACCCCATCTGCTCCGACCCCATCTACTCCGACCCCATCTGCTCCGACCCCATCTAGGATGCCTCCAGGGAACCGTTCCTGAGGGAAAGAGGCGCTCAGGTTTGTTTTGCCGTTGTGTCTGGCCCCCGAGGGGCCCTCCGCGGGCCCCGGGGGACGGTCAGGGTATACGGCTCCGGGTGAAAATCTGGCCCCGGGGGACGGTCCTGGGGGGAGGTGGCTCGCCACGGTCGGGTCGGGCGAAAGGGGGGGATTGGGAAAGGGGGGGTTACGAAATTTGCTGCATGCAGCTGGTTTCGGCCCTCGGGGCTCTTTGCGGGCCCCGGGACGGTCAGGAAACGGCTCAGGGTGAAAGTCTGGCCCCGGGGGACGGTCCTGGGGGGAGGTGGCTCGCCTTCGGGGTTCGGCAGCAAATCATGGGAGCCTTGTGTCCCCTTTTGCTTCAGCGTCTGGGAGTCCACGAGGTAGCGCCGATGTAGCGTCGGCTACCGTCGATTTAGTGCCGGTCCAACGTCGATTGAACGTCGATTAGCGCCGACCAGCGTCGATGAGCGTCGATTCGCAAGGGCCGACAAGATGGGTACGGGAGGCTCCCCTGAGTTGCCACCGATGTGGGGGAGCCCAGTCCCGAGGGACAGAGGTCGTGCGGGTTTTTGCGGCTTTTTCGGGCCCTCGAGGGGCTCTCCGCGGGTCCCGGGACGGTCAGGAAACGACTCGGGGTGAAAGTCAGGAGGGGAAAAAGACACACAGACACAATGAATCGTCGATTCCCCAGGAAATATTGGAAAATATGGGAAGTGGGGGGGAAGACAAAAACCCAGAAAAGATTGGAAAAGATAGGGAATCCTTTTTTTTTGTGTGTGTATTTCTTTGTGTGTCCTGGGGCCTCTTCAGAAAGTCTGGTCCCGGGGAACGGCCCCTGGGTCCAGGACCCGTTGCCTTCAGGGCCCGTTCTTCCCCATGCTCAGGTGGCCGGCGCCCGCCGTTCCGAGATGTCCGCCCTGAGGCGCGAGGCGGCCGTCAAGGCGCTCAACGTGCTAATGGTGACGATGGCGCCCACCACGGTGTCGCTGGCCACCTTCACGGTGTTCGACGAATAATAATAATAATAATAATAATAATAATAATAATAATAAGGATACTTATTAATAATTACACGAATCATATGAATAGTAATATACTGATACTAATGATGATAACTATTGCGAATAAGATGAATAATAATAAGAAGAAAGAGACGAAGCGGCGTAAGCACAACCTTCTGGAGATCGCGTAAGCACAACCTTCTGGAGATCCGCGCGAATTACTTGGGTTGGCTCTGGGCCACCTTGGCGGCGCCTGCAGCACCGCCCCTGGCGCGCTCCGCGCGTCGGGGAGGAGGGTCCAGATCGGATCTATGATTCAGTCGGACGTGTCCCTCTATGGGAAAAAAAACAGTCAGGGGACCATTTCTGAATTATTTTGAACTAATTGGGGGTTAAAGTATTTGTAATTTTTCGCCCAAGATCGCCTTGTGGGGGGACAGGCCCGACCTAAATCCGTGAAGTGCGCGCGGAGCTCCACAGGTTCCCTTGTGTGCCGGCGTTGCCTCTTCCAGGTGCTGGCCCTGTCGGGCGGGGCGCTGGAGGCCCCCTCCGTCTTCGCCGCGCTCACGCTCTTCAACGCGATGCGCTCGCCCCTCTCCGCGCTGCCCGACATGTTCTCGTCCTTGGCCCACGCGCGCGTGTCGGTCAGCAGGGTCCAGCGCGTCCTGCGGGAGGACCAGGCCCTCCGGGGCGTGGACGGCTGGGGGCCCAGCCCGCCGCCGCACGCGCGCCACCCGTCCAGGCTCTGGTGCAGGGAGCCCGCGGAGCTGCTGCAGCCCTCCAGCCTGGTCGCGGGCGCGTGCGCCGAGTGGGACGACGAGCCGCTGGGCCTCCCAGGCCCAGGGGAGCGAAGAATGGCATCAACACAACAGCTCGGAGGTCCAGCGCGGATCTCTCGGCTCCGCGCTGGACCCCTGGCGGCGCCTCCGGCGCCGCCCCTGGCGCGCCCCGCGCGCGCCGGGGAGGGGGGCCCAGCGCCGAGTCGAGCACTCCGCGCGGACCTCCGAATTGGGTGTGTCTGTCACTCTTCGCTCCCCGAAGGCCGCCTCCCCGAGTGGCCCATCGTCCAGCTGCACCGCGCCAGCTTCAGCTGGCGGCGGCCCGGCGCCGAGGCCGCGCTCGCCGCCGACGCCTCGCCTGGCGGGGACGCCTCGCCGGGCGGGCCGGGCACCGCGCGGGCGGAGGGCCTGCTGTGCGGCGGGATGTGGCGCGTCTCTCGCTGGGAGTCGAGCCCGACCTCGCCCACCACGCCCGTGCCCGCGCTCTCGAGTCCGACCACGCCGGTGCCCCTGCCGCCCCGCGTCGCCGCGGAGAGGCGGGGCGGCGCGTCGCAGGACGCGGTGCGGGACGTGAGCGTGCAGCTGCGGCGCGGGCAGTCCCTGGCGGTGCTGGGAGGCTCGGGGTCGGGCAAGAGCACCCTGCTGGCGGCGCTGCTGGGGGAGGTCTACCTCACCAGGGGCGACATGTGCGTCGCCGGGCGCGTCCCGCACAGGCCCCCCAGCATCGGCTACTGCAGCCAGCGCGCCTACCTTACCCGCGGGACCCTGCGTGACAACGTCTTGTTCGGGCGCCCACTGGACCCCGCCAGGCTGGAGTTGGCCCTGGACACGTGCGCCCTGGGGGCGGACATCTGCAGGTGGCCGCAGGGCGAGCAGACCGAGCTGGGCAGCCGGGGCGTCGCAGTCTCGGGCGGCCAGCAGGCCAGGATCGCCATCGCGCGTGCCGTGTACGGCGAGCCCGACCTGTGCCTGTTCGATGAGCCGCTGGCGAGCCTGGACCCGCAGACCTGCCAGCACGTGTGGCGGCGCGCCGTTCGCGGCGCGCTGCGGAGGAGCGCCGTGGTCTTCTCGACCACCTCGGCGGACCTGGCGCTCCAGGCCGACCTCCTGGTGCTGCTGGAAGGTGGCGTGGTGGCACAGTGCGGCCCCCCCGCACAGCTCGCTACCGCCAACGGCCCCTTCGCAGAGCTCTTGGCCGAGGCGGGCTCCGCCGTTGCCACGGAACGGGCCACCAGCGTCCCCGAGGGGTCTGCGCCGCGTCCCCAGCCCCAGGACTGCAGCGACGCGCCGAGAGCGGTGCCGGCCGTCGTGCGGCAGCCCCCCTGCGCCGGCAAGGCGGCGCACGCGGGCGCCCTGCGGGCGGTGCCGCCGCCAGTCCCCCAGGGGGCGCTGCCGGCAGCTGCCGCGAAGGAGTTGGAGGCGGCTTGGGGCGCGGGGGGGTCCTGCATCTCAGACACCGCGGAGCGGGTCTACTTGAGCTATGCGCTGCAGTTCGGCGCTCGCGGGCTGTGCTTCGGCGTGGCGGTGGCGACTT